TGAGAAGTCATTAGGGCCATCCTTCATTCACGATGATTGTGTCCTTATCAAAAGGGGAATGTGGACACAGAAATGCACACAGGGAATAAGGTTTGTGAAGACTGAAGCTTTGCCGTCACAAGCAAAGAAACTACCAGAAGCTGGAGAAAGACCCTGGAACAGATGCCTCCCTAGGGCCGGCCCACCAACACCCTCATTCCAGACTCTGGACTTCAGAACTTCGAGACAACAGATCTCTGTGGACCAGGAGGGATGGGGCCGGGTGGCCTCCCTGAAGCTGTTCCCTGAGTCTCTACCTCACTGTACCCAGAGCTGACCCTAAGCCTACATCCTGCTGTCACTGGAGCCCAGAAAACCCAGGGCTGCCCAAACCCCACCCCTCACACCTCCCCTGGCTCCTCCTCCAGCTATCAACACTTTGGAACAGCCATTATGTCCCTTTAATGTCTAGGAAAGGTGCCTCAGGAAGGCACAGAAAGAGGCACAAGATGGTGCCTCAACTGTGTCCACTGGGCCCAGGCTGGACCTTTAAGGAGGTGAGGGCAGGCTGTGGGATCACGTCCCTCTTCTCAGAGAGGCCAGGGATAAGGCCAGAAAGGGGAGAAGGGGAAGTGTTGGGGTGGGGGCGGTGCTGTGGGCAGAGGATGCTGAGGGCAGTGGCCCCTCCCCACAGGTGCCGAATGGAGTAGGTGAGGAGGAGCTTTCAGCCTCCATCTGGACCAGACCTCTAACCATTGCATAGGTGCCACTTCTTGGGTGGTCCAGTCCCAGCCAAGGTTCAGCTCCAGAGATTTTATTTTCCCCAAAATGGACATGATGCAACTGGCTAAGTCATGGTTCTAGAACTTTCAGGACTGACCCTGTTACCTGATGAGGATGAGTGGACAACACGCCCTGGAGGTCCTCATGTAGCCCGTGCCTCGGGCTGTGACCAGCTAACACCCAGGCACCTCCTCACACAGTCCCTGGGCCCTGCTGGTCCCAGGAAAGGCTACCGGCAAGGGCTGGGATGGGCCCAGGCTCTGCGTGTTTCCTGTGATGGCAGAGGGGTGGCCCTCGCCACCTTAGCGGCTCAAGGCACAGTAGTTACTGCTGCTGCCCTCTTAGTCTGTGGGAGCTGGCCAGGTGGGGGATATGGGGCATTAAGACAACCCTTATCTCTGACACAGAACAAGGGGCCTGGGGGCAGGGCTCATGCTGTTCTCCCTCTTGACCACCAGAACCACCACCTAACCACCCAGTGCCCAGCTGCCCAGGGCCCTCCTAGATCAAAGGGACTTCCTGATCATGTGGTCCATGACTCTACCCCTGCTTTCTGCTATTTCCTCTTCCTTGCAGAACTTCAGGTGCTAATTTGGACATTCTGGTTCCAACATAGTAGAGTAATGGCTTACATCTCTGTCTCCAAGAGAAAAAGAAGGGAAAAGATATAAGCACAAGGTCCACAGTTGTTCAGAGTCAGGTTGCAAGTGGAGCCCCTGGTGATGGGCATCTGACAGGGAGCTGGGGCACAGCAGGGTTAGGGTTAGGATGGTCTGCAAGGAGCTCGAATGGCGGGAGAGCATCCTGATGCCCAGCAGCAGCAGGGAACCAGAAGGAAGGGATTTCTGCGGACGGATCAAGGAGGCTCACTGATTCCAAGAGACCATTACCCTTCACATGTCCAGGCCCCTGGCTTGAAGACCAGCTCTCCTCATCCCACAATGAGGTTAGCCAACGACTGTCCCTACGCCAGCCTGGTTTGTAATTACAGACAGGCAAACGTGAGTCTTCAACAGTTCAGTTAAAAAAGAAAAAAAGAGACACAGCAAGAAATGAAAGATCGATATGATCAAACTGGTAAGTCACCTGTAGGCGAGTAAGTCCCCACATTCCTTCCTTTCTGGCCGTTTCCTTCTCTGTTCAAGGAAGGGCCAGAATCCACATTCCCACCTCTGATGAAGCAAAATTTTAAAAAATTCTAATTAGGATCCTCAAAAAAGTCTAAGATACTGCATCCACTGAAAGTAACAGTATATGCAGGTGTGACGGCTAATACTGAGCGTCAACTGGATTGGCTTGAAGGATGCAAAGTATCATTCCTGGGTGTGTCTGTGAGGGTGTTGCCAAAGGAGATTAACAAGTCAGGGGACTGGGAGAGGTAGACCCACCCTCAATCTGGGTGAGCACCATCTAATCAGCTGCCCGCTCGGCTACGATAAAAGCAGGCAGACGAACACAGGACTAGACTGGCTGAGTCTTCTGGCCTCCATCTTTCTCCCATGCTTTGCTTCCTGCCCTCGGACTCCAAGTTCTTCAGCTTTTGGACTCTTGGATTTACACCAGTGGTTTGAAAGGGGCTCTTTGGCCTGCAGTCACAAACTGAAGGCGGCACTGTCGGCTTCCCTACTTTTCAGGTTTTGGGACTCGGACTGGCTTCCTTGCTCCTCAGGTTGCAGATGCCCTACTGTGGGACTTCACCTTGCGATCCTGTGAGTCAATACTCCTTAATCAACTCCCTTTCATATATATATCTATCCTATTAGTCCTGTCCCTCTGAAGAACCCTGACGAATACAGCAGGAAGGAAAATTCAGAGATCAGTAAAGACAGCATGAAATTATCTTAAAATATACAACTGTCAAAATAAAAAATTGGAAGGCAGAATGTAAAACACATCCCAACAAGCACATACAATAAAAAAGAAAATATGGCCGGGCGCGGTGGCTCATGCCTGTAATCCCAGCACTTTGGGAGGCCGAGACGGACAGATCACGAGGTCAGGAGATCGAGACCATCCTGGCTAAACGGTGAAACCCCGTCTCTACTAAAAAAACAAAAAACAAAAAAAATAGCTGGGCGTAGTGGCGGCGCCTGTAGTCCCAGCTACTTGGGAGGCTGAGGCAGGAGAATGGCGAGAACCCGGGAGGCGGAGCTTGCAGTGAGCCAAGATCGCGCCACCGCACTCCAGCCTGGGCCACTGCGCAAGACTCCGTTTCAAAAAAAAAGAAAGAAAAAAGAAAATATAAGCTCTTTGGGAGATTGGTCCCAGAATTTCAAGATCTAAATAACATTTGTGCTCTGAACAGATAACTGAAAACGAAAAAAAAAAATTTCTGCCCCTTAAAAAGTTGAAGGTGGGAAAATTACGCCAAAAACATTAACTGCAATCTTCAAGGCCCTATTCTCTTATGTACTTGGAGCTAGCCACTTCTCCATTTGTCCATTCCAATTTCACATTTATTAATGAAAAATAATGCCTTCTCTACATCTACTGTGAATTTCACAGAATCAAGCAGTAATACAAATATTTGCTGAAAGTAAACACATGTTAATATCGAAAAAAGGTTCTTAAGATTTTGAAAAGAACATACTCAAGAATTGGAATCCCACACAGGATGCAGAAGCAATGCTAAGGATAAAATATCCTGACTACCTTTATTGACATGATTTGTGTTTACCAGCTCATTAAAATCTATGTTGCAAATTCCTTGGATTTTTCCCAAGTTCCAGACTGGTAAAAAGTATTTTTACATACACATTTGATTCTTTCATTACAAACTTAATATCTATAAATTTGAAATTTGTTTTGCACAAGTCTATGGCTATACTACTTTTCAAGACAAAAGTCACATATTAAAATACAAACCACTCAAAAGTAAATAGTTGTTAAGAATGTGGTTTACGAGATAGATCTTACAGACAATACAGACTATATTATGATTTATCTGTTTGAAAACAGAAAGTAGTGTATTATATTATATTGAATTCTGCTATAAGGTGCGCAGGAAACCTTACTTACAATCCTTTATTTTCATAGGTAAACACCAAACTATTTCTCACATATATTACAACCATATTTTTTTAAACCAAATTCTGGTTTAAAAATCACACACTGACAACACAGAAATACGAAATGCTAGGAAAAGTCTAGTGTATGAGGGAAAAACATGTCTTATGCATTATAATACAATTTTTTTTTTACAATCTAGCATAAAGGCATATGTGGTTTTTTAAAAAATGCAGTCCATATACAATTATAGAAAAAAACCTAGTCAAGCCACCTAATATAACCAATTTCACAGATACCACTCATTTAATATTATTTCCAAAAATTTCCAAGTAACTGTCTACATGTTAGAATAATGCCCACAAGGATTTCCAAACTACAAAATATTAGCAAGTAAATGTAAATCACACGTTTCTCTTTGAAAGAATGAAGCTTGACTATGAGTTAAAAGGCAACAACTATGAACTAACTTTCTTTAAAATGACTTAAACTGGCCAATCTAGAGCAATACACGTTTCCCAGCTATACATGCAAACTGGATTGTGTGGTAAAAATGACTCAGTTACTTAAAAAAGCAGAAAAGATCCAAAATAACCAGAGCTTAGCTAACGTGGCGAAACCACAGAGACACTGAAGCCCAGCAACTCCCAAGAAGCTGAGGATTAAGATTAACAATAAACTCTGGATACCGAATCCTCTATCGACACTCTGAATTTATGTTTATTGTTAATAATTTATATTATTCTTTTCTTTGGGTAAAAAAAAAATGTTTTAAAAAGAACCAATGTTTTGGAATAAGCAATGTAACTCTGATCATTTTGCTATGTGACTACCAAAAACGCTGCTGTTCTTTTAGCCCTACCATTTGGTAAGATAGAAAGCTCTCCACACACAAGGCTCAGAGAAGGCTGATACCACAAGTCAGTGCGAGTTACACTATTCTCATCAATGGAGCTACTAAAATACATACATTTGCTCTTACAAAAAAATTACAAAACTAACAAATCTCTTTTTCTCCAGAATTATAAAAGATAGAATCTATGAATCAGTACTCTAATGTGATCGCAGAAAAATAGCAAACTGAAGTCAAAAAGCACAGGCTGTCCATTATAGAGTCCCCAGTCTAATTCCTTTCTACCTAGAGTCCCAGTCTATTTAACACTTTCTACCTGCTCTGAGGATGGAGGGTGTCAACACCTTAGAAAACCATGATGATCTTTAAAACTGGGTACAGAATCATCCCCAAGGTTACGGCACATGTAACTTCGCTTATTGCTCACACACAGAAAAAAATTCGCTTCCTTTTCCAGGATATTCTTTTAAAGGTATCAAAACATGTCATTAAAAAAAAAAAAAAAAACCCTCTTTGGAATTCTCCCGGAATTCCAGAAAGATTATTTGGCAGTTCATTCCTCCACCCCATCAAAATTTTTCCTTTGAAAATTTTCAACTGACAACTCACATAAGATTTAATTAACTTACTTAAAATAAGGGAGGGCTTCTCAGTAATGTTTCCCCACTAGAAAACTAAGAAATTCAGTGATACTCAGTGCCAGTAACTAAGTGGCACGTATCATAAAAATTCAAACTTGGATGCAGGTGCGTCACACCCAGAAAAGATTTCATACATTTATAAGCTTGTGCTTTCACACTTTATAAGCAACACAGGTTAGTTTCCACTTCGGTTTTCATCTTTAGGGAGTAACGTGCATGTTGTATGAGGGACGGTCGTCAAACAGTCTCTCTTACACACACTTGAGTGTTTCATCAGAGCCGAAAAAGAAACAGCCTTCTCTTTTTCTCTATGAAGATTCTCTCCACTTTGGGAAAACAATCTTCTATGCAATGAAGGTCTTGTGGAATTACGTAAAGAAATCATACAACTGAATACAATTTTAGAGGCCAATCAGGAACTAGAAGAAGAAAACCATGATGTGGATGAGCCCAGCAGTTCCCTTCCCCGCAATGTCTGCCTCCAGGTTCAACAGCACGTAGGCAGCACAAACTTCAGACTCAGCAATCTGCTCTTCCTCATTTCCCCCTTTCAAACAGGAGACTTATTTTTCTCTGTAATAAAGCAAGTAGTATTTCAGGGGATCTGGCAGAGGGAGGCTCAGGACCTTCTGGCGTAGGAAGTTCACTGGGGGGTCTGGCTTTGTTTCAGGCGGGGTCTTCTCTTCTTCTTCCCTCCGTTCCTCTTCCAAGTCTTCACAGCTGTTGTCATCTGAGGGGTTGGAAATCCGACTGGCAAAGACTTCTTTGTCCAAAAAGACAATCGTTTCCATTCGACGGCGGCGAACTCTCCTTCGTTTAAACCTGGGGGTGTTCTTTAGTCCGTTTCCGTTTTTGCTCACAGTTTCCTGATGAATAACCTTTTTAATGGTGCCCCGGATGGCAATGCGAGCCAAGTCCTGGAGGCTGCGAACTGCCACTGGTGCTGCGGCACAAAAGAATGAGACACAGTCAAACTCATCTGAGCAACACGACCACAATGCCTACACATCTAAGACCCGTAACTTCATTTGAATTAACTTGCAAATTTATGAATATGTTGAAAGAATATGAGAGCAGGCTAAGCAAATGTCAATTAGTGCTCTGATTTACAATCATATGGTACTTTTCAAAAGACATTTTCAAATGCATCAGTTCTTAACTTTGAAAGGGAAAGGAAGCAATACTGCTTGGCTACATTAATCAGTGGTGGAACCAACACCTGGGTTACAGTTTGTTTTCCTGACAGCCTAGTTTCATTATTCTATTGTCTGCGCATTCATGTGTATATTAATACCCACCTACTAGTAATAGAGTGAATATGTCTCCAACAGCCTAGTTTCATTATTCTATTGTCTGCGTGTTCATGTGTGTATTAATACCCACCTACTAGTAATAGAGTGAATATGTCTCCAACAGCCTAGTTTCATTATTCTATTGTCTGTGTGTTCATGTGTGTATTAATACCCACCTACTAGTAATAGAGTGAATATGTCTCCAACATTCTTGTTTTTGAGACAGAGTCTTACTCTGTCACCCAGGCTGGGGTGCAAAGGTGCGATCTCCACTCACTGCAACCTCCGTCTCCTGGGTTCAAGTGATCCTCCCGCCTCAACCTCCCCAGTAGCTGGGACTACAGGCACGTGCCACCATGCCCAGCTAATTTTTGTATTTTTAGTAGAGGCAAGGTTTCACCATGTTGGTCAGGCCGGTCTTGAACTCCTGACATCAAGCGATCCACCCGCCTCAGCCTCCCAAAGTGCTGAGATTACAGGCGTGAGCCACCGTGCCCAGCCTAATATTCTTTTATCTACTAATATTTTCATAGTTATTCACACATTGAATATTTGTTCCATTTTTATTAAAGTACAGAAATGCAAATCCAAACATTTTTCAGAAAAAGCAAAAACTCTAAAGCACACCAAGGAGAAAGAACATTTGACAATTAAAGCTCACAATTTCATGCAGGCAATATTTCTCAAAGGGAAAATTACATTAAACTTATAGTTTAGTATTAATTATATATCATTAATAAAAGTAACTCAGCATCACTTTTCCCCTCCAGTACTCCACTTCTCCAAAGAACAACAGTCTGCACTACAGGGAGAGCTCTTGTGCTGTACACATTTATCACCAAAATCAGAAAGGCCTGCAGAGAATCTCTCCACTGTTCTTCGGAAACCCTCAAACAGGCTTGTGTCCCAGGTCCTTGGCAGTAAGTAGCACCTTCTCCCTTCAACCTTTCCTGTTTTTCTGACTCCACAGACAAGAGGTCCCTTCTCCTTTCTCCAGGACAGGCTCTGGCACTTCCTTTGTCTTCAATCCTGTCTCCTCACCAAACAACACGATCATGCCTCTTGCCCCATCTGTGACCCAGCTCCCTCCTCAAGTACAGCCATCCTTCCTTCATCATCTCACATCCAGAAAGATTACTTCCAGAGCACTAGGATCTAGCTGTTGCCCCAAAAGGCTGAAACAACTCCTTCCGAGGCCCTCAGGGTCCCAGCCTTCAGCTCTGGCCTCTCCAGATCGCCAAGGTGTCGGCTTGGGATAAGGAACGTGGCTCACTGCTACCCTGGCCCAAGGCACAGCCGCTCCCTCTGACCTCCACAGCTCTTTTCTCTTGCAGGCTCTTCCTCTTCCATCCAGCCCAGTGATGCTCCCTAAGGTTCCAATTTCCACCATTTCCCCCTCTCGATATGACTGCTAGTCCTTGGTTTTACATCCATTCTGTGGCTTTAAATAACAGGCCAGCCAATAGCTCCCAAGGTTCTAATCCAGTCCTGACCAGGATCCTGAGCCTCCCATATACCCAGGTCTACAACAAACAATGAACACCTCACATGTCCTTCCTCAGAAGGACTGTATCATTGTATGTATCATTCAATCTTCTCCACTGTAGAAGCCAGTCTCTTAGTTTTCATCTTTATATCTCGCCTGGAAAATTTCAACAGCTTTCCACTGGTTCCTGCTTCCAATGTGACCTGTGTCCATTCAATCTGAAAGCTAACCCATCTACCCCACACCACACATATCTACACTCACATGATCCCACACCATGCATTTCCGTACTCATGTGACCCCACACCGCACATGCCCGCACTCACATGAACCCCACCGTGCACGCCCGAACTCATCCCACACCGCACACACCCGCACTCACACGACCCCACACCGTGCATGAACATTACCCCACACCGCACACACCTGCACTCACGACCCCACATCACGCGTGCCCACACTCACACGACCCCACGCCATGCATGCCCGCACTTACATGACCCCACATCACGCGTACCCACTCACACCTCACACCGTGCACGCCCGCACTCATGACCCCACAGCACACGCCCACACTCACACGACCCCACACAGCACACGCCTGCACCCATGACCCCACACCGTGCACGCCCACACTCACACAACCCCGCACCGCGCACGCCTGCACCCATGACCCCACACCGCGCACGCCCACTCACACAACCCTGCACCGTGCACGCCTGCACCCATGACCCCACACCATGCACGCCCACACTCATGACCCCACACCGTACATTCTCGCACTCTCATCACCCCACACCATGCGTGCCCACACTCACACGACCCCACACCACGCACACCCACACACACGTGACCGCACACTGCAAATGTCCACACTCATGACCCCTCATTGTGCACGTCTACGCTCTGACCCCATATCATGCAGGTCTAAACTTACACACCCTACACCACGCATCTACACTCACATGATCCAGTATCACGTATGTCTAGACTCACAGAGTTTTCTATTCCACTGTCTTCACGAACATGACTTTACTAGTCTAGGAAACTCTGGCCCAGGAAAAGAAAAGTTGCAAATAACCCAATGGGTCACTTCAGAAACTCTAAAAGCATCACATTAATATTGATTATCTAACATTCTCTTCAAAACCATCTCCGCAAAACAAGCATCCAAACTGCCCACCACATTGTCATGATTCTTAATCAGGCCAGATGAAGCCCTCACAGGGAAAGACTCATTTTCAACCAGACCCTCAAAAAGTCTCATAAATACCCCAAAGATGCCCTTGCCTTCCCAAACTCTGTTAAGGCTCTGGAAGCTGGTGACCTCCCAGCCAAGAGCAGCACTTACTTAAAAAGGTTATTCTGGTGAGATTTTCAGAGCATGCATTTGACAGATTCACCCTCCACCTGACCACCAGGCTTATCCAGGATCTTTTGCTTGAAGCATCTGATAGCTCTGCCCAGCCAACATGATAAACCCAATTCTAACCTACATACCAGTAGTTTCTCCCACCAGTCCCAACTCTGACTATACGGGGAACATGCATCTTGACTTCTGCCCTACCATTGCTGGCACTTTTCTCCACTTTCTCCTCTTTAGGGAACTGCTTTTCGCCCTTGAAGGCCGAGCACAAACATCATCCTCTGCCAAACCTTCCCTAATTACTCCAACCGTTTTGCATGTCCTATTGTTGCTCATTATCAAATTTCAAGAACCGTGTCTACTTCTTAGAACCTGTACTTAGTAGAGACCAAAGCAAAGTGTAATCATTTAATAGATGATTCCTAATAAACCAAAAAACTTTTCTGGAAGAGATTTGCCAAAATGTATTGTCTCTGAGTGGTGGGACTATGCAAAACTTTTTCCTTCCTATTATTTGCATTTCCCTTCCTAAAATTTGCATTTTCCAAATTTTCTAAATGATCAGAGAGCATCCTGATAGTTTTATTTTAAATAAAATCAATTGGAACTCTCCTTTCTGTGTGAGTTGTTTAAATTTTAAAACATCAGGAGGTTTTGCTATCGTGCTGGCCCTGGTATCAGTTCCTTGCTCAGTTTGCATCCTGAACTAGTGAAACACAAAGGCTCGGCTGTGTGAGGTTCCACGGAAAGTCTCCTATCCACCCCAGCAGATTAGCTGGAATGTGTTCTCTGCCCTCGTCTACTCATGAGGCAGCAGGCGCTTGGTGCCCTGGGGAACAGATGCCCCATGACTCTGCAGGAGCCCTCTCGATGGCTCTCTCTGAAGACCTCACCCAGCGGAAGCGGCAAAGAGGCTCAGTCTCCCACGCGGCAAAATGAGCTCCCTTTTATGTGCGTCCTACGCTTTCAGTGGCGTGACCAGCAACAGCTCTTTGTAGATTTAAAAGACAGCTAAAATAACCTGAAATAGGCTAAAAATAGATTATAACTTTTTTAATGCCTGAAATTGCTTGTAGAATTTTAGTTTCAGCATGGGAGTGGTGCTTTTTAATATCAAAAGGTTCTTTGTAAGCTTTGTTTCCTTTTAAAATCTAACCAGACGAAAAAGATCTAAAAGATAAAATAAGTAAAGACTGGTATACTTACGTAACTGGACAAGTCTTGATTTTCCTGACTCTGAATGGCAGGGCTGGATCAGAGGAGCAAAAGAAACAGCAAGAATCTTTTTGGTTTCCCAAGCTGAAGGACCCGTGCGTGTTATCTTAGTCAACTATCCCAGAGACAAAATGAGAATATTCAAAAGATTTGGCTACTAAATAGCTCATATTTAATCATTCCTATACATACTACAAAAATACATAGATACGCTTACAATAAAATGAAATATCTTGACATATGGACCCCTAATGTGATGTGCCATGAAGTACATCTGTCTTATGAAGATTCCTGCAAAAATGCTTAACCTGAATATATTCAGGCCCTAGGCCTAACTTCTGTTTACAGAAATCATATATTATAGAGAAACTAGTTATAGGATAGCAAGAGGAAACAATCACATAGAGAATGTGAGCATTCTTATAAGACAATGCTCTAGCACTCTCCAAAAAAGTCAACATTGAGGGTGAAAAGGGGATCTGTTCTAAAGTATAAAGCAAAGATATGTTAATAACCAATTGAATCCTGACCTGTTGTTACTGGGGGCGGGGGGAGGGGCGGCGGGCGTAACTCCTGGTAGGCACTGTAGTCACAGATACTGTTATATAGAATCCCTGTTACTTTTTTAAATGCAAACTTGTCATCTTGGATGCCTGGGCAATTATCCTCAGGCTTTGGAGACAAACACCGAAGTGTTTAAGCCGTGCCCTGGTATCACCCCCACGAAAGCACCGGGATCTGGTGGCTTAACATACTCCAGGGTAGGTCATCAAAACATTTCTTTTGAATTCAAGTATTCGGAGCACCAGAGAACACAATTAGACATGACCCTCTGTGTGCTCCGTGTGGCTGGGTCAGTCTCCAAGTGGCCTACACAGGTCACAAAACTATTTTTGGTCAGTTCTTTCATGCTATGATTACATGCTGGCCTTTTCTAAAAATATCTAAGTCAGTAAATCCTCTAAAAACTAAGATTCTATGTCACAAATCTCATAACTTAAAGGATTAAGTAGCCATGTACTAAGTAAACATCAACAAACATTCTTATATAGCAGCAAAACATATGTTTAAACATTTTTAAAAGAATGTCGTTATAATGAAAAACAAGTATTTCCATATAATCAATAAATGATGTATAAAACCGTAAATAAAACTATAAACCCCTATTTCATATTCTACATAAGCAGACGAAACATTGTAAAGATGTCCACAATCCTCAAACTAATCGAGATGATACAATTCCAATAAAAAATCCAATGCATTTTTGTATAGCAACAAAGACCTGTAATTTCACTTGTGTAAGCAAAGACATTTAAAACAATATTCTGCCAGGTGTGATGGCTCATGCCAACAACTCTGGAGGCTGAAGTGAGGCGACTGCTTGAGGCCAGGAGTTTGTGATCAGCCTGGGCAACACAGTGAGAGCCCGTCACTAAAAAAATAAAATTAGGCCAGGCGCAGTGGCTCAGACCTGTAATCCCAGCACTTTGGGAGGCCGACACGGGCGATCACGAGGTCAGGCGCTCCGAGACCAGCCTGACCAACATGGTGAAACCCTGTCTCTACTAAAAATGCAAAAATTAGCTGGGTGTGGCAGCGCGCACCTGTAATCCCAGCTACTCAGGAGGCTGAGGCAGGATAATCGCTTCAACCCAGGAGGCGGAGGTTGCACTGAGCCGAGATTGCGCCACTGCACTCCAGCCTGGGCAACAGAGTGAGACTCTGTCTGTAATTAAATACATTAATTAATTTAATTAAATAAATTTAGCTGGGCATGGCAGCACGTGCCTACAGTGCCAGCTACTTGGATGCTGAGGCAGAAGGTCACTTCAGCCCAGGAGTTTGAAGTTATAGTCAGCTATTATCACGCCACTGTACTCCAGCCTGAATGACAGAGCAAGATCTCATCTCCAAATTTTTATTGAAACAATTAAAACCTCCTAATTTTTACTATTAGTGTTTTCCTAGTTCTTTGTGACTGGGAGACATTCTTCTTGGTGACCAATTCATGTCTGATTAATCTGTTCATTTATTATGAACTATTTTTCACAGTGAAACACAGTAACACAGACAAACATGCATGACCAAATAGCAAACTTGGACAAGACTCTCACTAAGTAAAGGATTCCTGTGAAGTGCATAACATCAAGGCATTTAACAATTAGACTAATGATGAGAATAGAATTACTCTAATAATGTTATATATAATTCTAATAACAGACCAATTATAACACATTAACAATTAGAATTAAAACTCAGAACAGCTGGGGGAAAGGAGAAGGGGAAGGAAGAGGGAGGTGAGGAGGAAGGGACAGAACAAGGAAAAGGAAAGAGAGAGAGAAGGAAGGGGGAGAAAAAGGGTTTCATGTGTAGGCTCTGAAGTCCCCACCTGAGTCAGGTTCTGGCCCCACCTAGGCTATGTGCATGACCTGGCATCTCCCTCACCTGTCCCTGCCTCTGTTTCCTCATTTATGAAATGCAGGAAATTGTTAAAAGAGTAAGTATACATAAACTGCCCAGAACAGACCTTGGCAAACAGTGTGCAAAAATGTCAGTTATGAAGGGAATCTGACCTTCTCTTCCAGTGGCATGACAAGGATCCCTCCCACTTTGAGAAGATTCTTCATGTATTCTTCATGTTCTTTCTGCACACCAGCCCCACAGTATACACGATCATACTGAGAACAATCCGGAGAAATCTCCAGGCAATTCCCAGTAACAAAGGAAGGTTCACAGAAGTCAAACCTGGAAGTAAAAAATGCTTCTTGCAACTAAAGGTATCACATTGCAACAAGTGTATACAGTAAACCTATGCTAACCACAGGTTAAAATCCCACAGCAATGTAACACAGTTTACAGAGCAAGGAGCTGGAAGAAAAGAATTACAAACGTCCAAGAATTACTTCCAAAAAGAATTATACTATATAACGAGAACTCTAGAAATGCCAAACAAAACAGTATGAAAGTGAGTATCAAAAGTATTATCCATATTTAACACAATCTCCAATCACTGTTGTCTGTGTCATCTTCCTATCATCTTATGTGAGATCTATTAACACAGTGAGTGAGATGTGGGGGTGGTGAAACTGCACTTGGTGTTTCCAAAAATTTTAATCCCTAAAATAAGAACTTTAACGTCTTATTTTAAAATGGCAAAAGCTAGTTATATATACTGTTTAAAGAAAAATGCAACAATTTCATTTTAGGAAAAATTAGGTGGTAAAAAGTTGTCTTAAATAGGAAACATGAATACTGAGCAAATGAACATTTTCTGTTTTCTTCTATTCTTATATTGGTCAGAAATTACCTTATGTAGGTGTAACAGTTTGAAATACCCTAAAATCCTCAAAAACACAGAATATTTTTTAAAACTTAGAACGGGCACATAGGATCATCCTACCACAGTTTATTTACGTTTGCTACCACTTGAACACTAATAAGCTGATTTCTTTCTATCTGAGCAAAACTTTGTAAAATTATAATTCTCATTATCTGAGCCAATGGATAGTATTTCATCTTACTTGTCAAAACTATCACTTGTTCTGATGAAGAAGTCCAGTTTCTGCTTTGCATATTCTATCACATCTGAGTGAAGTTCCACCCCATGGTTCACGCCAAAAGGACCTAAAACGTTTAAGAATAAGAAAACATGTAGAACCAGAGCAAGAGCTCCTGCTCATTTGTTTACTTCTACCAACTGTGACGCATCTGATTTAGCATCTGCAACTGCAGACACTCACCAAGTTTTGAAGTCTCATCACATTATCACAGCTCACCACATGATAAATACTTGGGGCCTGGGCTTCTCTGCTCTCAAACTTTTAAAGAATCATTTGAAAATTGAAACAAACCAAGTGTTCAAGTCTTACTAATGAACTACAGAAGAAACATGTATTTGCAAGTGCAACTGACACAGGCCTCACCTGTTTGTCCAGAGGTAACATTTAAGACAATTCTGTTTTCCCTGAAAAGTTTCCCAAAACACTCAGATGTGTGCATTATAATATTCACAAAACAGGGTTCAGTCATCATCATTAAGATAAAACTATGCTTCCAAGTCACAATGAAACATTTTTTATATCAAAGGATATTTATCAGTAATTTGAAATAAAACTGAGAAATGTTACAAGTCCACTTAATGATGAAAGCCCTCCCTCCATATAAAACTGCCCCTACGTTAGCTGAGAACACAGTATTGACACTCAATATGAGTCTCTCTGTTATGGGTCTCTCTGTTGAGTCTCTTTGTTGTAGGAATCCACTTACACGAAGGTAAAAATCAGGCAAAATTCATCTATACTGACAAAGGCAAAACCGTCATCACCTTTCTGGAAGGTGCAACATTGGGGACCTTTCTAGGAGGAGGGGGCATGGGAGCCTTCCGGGGTGCCGATTCTACTCTGTATCATGCTCCGGGTGGAGTTTATATGGAGGTGGATGCACATGTAAAAGTCCATCAGAATTCACACTTCACACTTGTTCATTTACATGGGTAAGTTACACGTCAACTTTTTAAGTCTACATGTAAAAATCAATAGGGCACGTAGGACTTTACTTAGTAGACGCATCTACCACAGTGATCATGCAGCACTGGACTCTACAATCTCACAGAAATGCTGAGAAACGAGCAACCTTCTGTGCCTCCCACACCTTTGCACCATGCGGGCCCTCCTAGGACAAGAGTTACCAGCCCAGGAAAAGGCTTCCCTGGCCCCCATTTGGACAACTGTACCTGCTGCTCTTCTCTCTCAACAGATTTCACACACAGAGCTGCTGCTAAAACATTACCTCATCAAAATACACCCTACCTGAGAGTTCAACTTTTCACTATTTACAACATGAAATCCTGAATTACTCCCAATGTCAAGACCTTCTGACAACTCCCCGACTTCAATTCCCGACTCTGCCACTGTGCCAGAGACCAAAAATAGCTGCTTGATTTTTCCTACTCATCTTATTTTCACTGACCCCTCACCTTCACTATCAAGCACTTAATAAGCAGTTAATTCTAATAACAGATACGAGATATGTGTCCTATTCCCAAGAAGCTTAACACCAAACAGTAGTAACACAAATATCTCAACCCACCTGCTTAATAAGAAGATGACTAGCAGGGGAAGGAGGACACAGGGTGGCTGGGGGGTGTCACGAACACGGCACCTGGAACACAGCACTGGAACATGGCACTGAAGCCAGACCTGCAAGGCCTCCCCTGGCAGAGTCACTCCCAGGTATGCCCTGCTTCCTAATCACACAGCATTTTTTCAGGTAGGTGACTTATGAGTCACCATCTCTTAGTATCTACTGTATTCTCCCCTGGTTCATGACAAACGAAGGTAAGGACAGCCCTGAGCAAAGGGGAGAGGAGGCCACAGAGCAAGCACAGGAACATGGCTGACCCAGGATGCAGCTCAGACCACGTGAAAGGCAATGAAGGGTCACAGTAAAGACATCTGTCAGATGAGAGACCCACATTCACAGGCACTGGGAAGCCAATGAGCTTTCACTCTGGAGTGCTTTGCACAAAGTGCTGTTCAGGTTGAATAAGCTGCAGCATCTGGAGACGCAGCCAAGACATGCATCCATGACAGCAAACCCTGAAGTCACTTCCTCCAACTGCATCAAAGCAGCATGTCACATCCATTACAGCAGAAAACAGGCCTGCCTTCCTTCAGACCTCTCTTCTCCCAAAATCCAACGAAATTCCCAGTAAACAGGGGATTCAGAAAAGACAAGCAACAATATCAAGTTGGAAGGCCTTTTCTTATAACTTCTAGGGGATGTCAAGTACAGCAAGGCCATTTCAGGCTTACTTTCCTTTTTTCTTTTTGAGATGGAGTCTCGCTCTTTTACCCAGGCTGGGGTGCAGTGGCGCGATCTCTGTAACCTCACTGTGACCTCCGCCTCCCAGGTTCAAGTGATTCTCCAGCCTCAGCCTCCTGGTTAGTGGGATTATAGGTGCGCACCACCACACCCAGCTAATTTTTTATACTTTTGGTAGAGATAGCATTTCACCATGTTGGCCAGGTTGGTCTCAAACTCGACCTCAAGCAATCTGCCTGCCTCAGCCTCCCAAAGTGCTGATATTACAGGCGTGAGCCACCACGCCTGGCCATTTCAGGCTTACTTTAAGTCATCTTTTCCTAAGCATTTTGGCTCTTTTCAACAGCATTTCTAATCTAGTCAGCTAGAGCACCTATTTCTCCCCAAGGTTCTACCTTAGCTATAGCTCCAATTTTTCAGCTACATTGGAGGAAATCACAATTCCCAAATTCAAAAATGATAAATAACCTGGGCACCGTGTTCTCTTCTCAAAGCACAAGGATCACAACAGTTTCAATCGAAGAGAAGTTAAAGTCAAAAAGCATTATAAAAATCTACACATTTTTACACCTGAAGGTAGCAATCTATAGCCTAAAGTCAAAATACTCGGTCTCAAAACTTCACCAAATTCCAATTTACACAGACTTAGAAAAAAAAAACAAAATTCTCATTCCATATCCACAAAACTCAATTAGAGACGAGGTCCCGCTCTGTCACCCAGGCTGGAGTGTAGTGGCGCAATCATAGCTCACTGCAGTCTTAAACTCCTGGGTTCAAGCGATCCTCCAGCCTTGGCCTCCCAAAGGGCTGGGATTACAGGCATGAACCACCAAGTCAAGCCACATTCTTGATGTTTCTTTCACAACCATATACAGTCCATCCGTAAATCCTGTCAGTTCTAACAGGATTTAGAAAAAATACAGACTCCAGCTTCTCTGCACTGGTTTCATCCAGTGTCTTAGCCAGCATGCCTCAGCAGCCTGGCCCTGCTTCCTGTTTAGAGCAAGGTTTTACAGTAGAGATCAGCTCCTACCACTCCTCTGGCAAAACCCTTCCACCTTACTGAGTTAAAAACAGATGCCTTCCCCGCCCCCCCGTAGCATTTTGCACCAAGTGATGTTTCTCCTTACTTATCTGTTTCTTAGTTATCTGGCCAGGCATGGTGGCTCATGCCTGTAATCCCAGCACTTTGGGAGGCTGAGGAAGGTGGAGAGCTGGCGCCCAGGAGTTTGAGACCAGCCTGGGAAACACGGCGAGACCCTGTCTCTAAAAAAAATTTAAAAATTAGCCAGGCATGGTGGTGCACGCCAAGACCCCATCTCCACAAAAAAGTTTTAAAAATTAGCCAGGTGTGGTGGTGCACGGCTATGGCCCCAGGTACTCAGGAAGACTGCTAGAGCCCAGGAAGTCAAGGCTGTAGTGGGCCGTGTTTGTGTCACGGCACTCCAGCCTAGGCGATGGAGCACGATTCTGTCAAAAAAAAAAAAACTGCTTATAAGTACTCCAAAAGGACTTTAAAGTTAATTACCATCGATTCAGAGAAGGAGTGCCAACGAAGACTGAGTGACAAAATTAAATCAAGAAATCACAGCGGGGTCAAGATTTACACAACTGTCTTTGTCCTCCACTGTCCACAGGGCAGGTGCACAGTACAGGCTGTGGCGGTACAGGCAGAGGGGACAGAGAACAGGAGAGGTCCCCCTGGAGAACCTGGGGCCATGAGATGCATGCAGGCCTTCCTCCCTCATCCCTCCATCCACCACCCAGTGATATGTCAATGTCAGATAACTACTGGGAAGGCTGGGGTCTCGACCCAGGCGGGCCATTAGCAGACTACATTTTCTGTCAAAGGAGACGCCTCCTTCCCTGAGACAGATGAGTTTTCAGACTCTCCTTCCACACTTACCTAGAATGAGGCCCACCATGGAGCTCAGGTACCCAGTGCCACTGCCCAGGTTCAGAAATGAGAGTCCAGGCTGCAGATCTAAGGCTTCCATCACCTCTGAATAGATGCATGGGGCTGAGAGGTGAATGTTTCCATGCTTCCATGCCAAGTCTTTATAAGCATTTTCTTTAAATTCTTCAAGATAATAGTCTGCACGATCGATAGCTCGGAAAGCCTGCTCTACCAGCTCAGTCCGGATATACTGTGCTTCTTTCAAATTATCTATCAGCTCATCATTGTCTTCACCAGCACTCACAGCACCGCCCATGTTCAAGATTACACTTAGGCAATACTATAATTAAAAATTTTTAAAAAGAGTGGTTTATGTTAAAAGTAAGAGCAGAACAATAAAAGTTCTAAACAGATACCACTTTTGAATTCTGAATTCTGAAAATAATAGACTATCTTTTGTCAACACCCACCTCATCCCCCGCCCCACCCAGAGATGCTAGATTTAGAAGGAAAAAAAAATCCCAGTTCCATTGGAAACTCAGGTAAACAACACCACTAAAAATTATTTGAGATTTATTTGAAATTCAAATTTAGGCCGGGTGCGGTGGCTCATGACTGTAATCCCAGCACTTTGGGAGGCTGAGGTGAGCAGATCACCTGAGGTCAGGAGTTCGAGAACAGCCTGGCCAACATGGTAAAACCCCGTCTCTACTAAAAATACAAAAATTAGCCAGGCGTGCTAGTGGATGCCTGTAATCCCAGCTACTTGCAAGGCTGAGAGAGGAGAAAAGCTTGAACCCAGGAGGCAGAGGCTGCAGTGAGCACAGATCGTGCCACTGCACTCCAGCTTGGGCAATAGAGCAAGACTCTCTCTGTCTCAAAAAAAAAAAAAAAGAGAAAAGAAAAAAGAAAAAAAATTTAGGTGGTGTCCTATATTACATCTGGGAACTCTACATCCCCAACATAACACAAAAATACCCACCCAAGTCAAGCAATCCATTTGACCTGTTGATCTGGATATTTTGATGTTCAAATTTTAGACAAAAAAAGCAAGAAAACACTCTTCCCAAATTGAACACACTGTGACAAACACCTTCTCCTAACAAATGCAAAATCAACGTCCTGGCTAAAGTTTAAGTGTAGGAGGGGCTGCTACCAGAACTTCCTACAGCCTCTTCTTAATTGCATGATATGCAGCTTTCCCAACTCTTTAAAAATAACAACTACTTGTCTTACCTTCTCCCAAGCTGCCTTCAAGAAGAAAAAGCGCAGAATGTGTCACCTCTGAGCCTAACTATTAAAATACAGTGTAGCTTCATCTAATTCACAAGAAAACACTCTTCCATATGGAGAAGTCTTACTCTTCTTAAAACTACAAAAATATCCTTTCCAATTTTATACTTACCCCATGTAACTTTTTCAAAGTAACTGCTTTAACTTCACATAAAATGGTAATGCTTTACAAAACACCAGATACAAATTGTTGGGGGAAAAGACCACCAGACCTCATGAAGACATTTTCTGAAATGAACACAATCTTTTTAACAACCTGTTATAATTATGATGAAGTTTATACTTGCTTTCCTCCTCACATTCCTCTGGATTTCTAACAGCAGAATGAGGATGGTTAAGAAATACTGCAGGGTGGCGAGGGGCCAGGGGCAGATTTCATACACACCCACGTACACAACAGGCGACAGTGGTGGGAGAGGTTTTCCCAGGAATGAAAATAATCACGTAGTTCCTTACAAGTGAACAAAAAGGGTGAAGGCTATGGCTTAACACAAATTCTCTTCTATTTTTATGGTGGAATACTCAAACTTCATACTCAAGATTTTAGAGCTGAATATTAGGTTTTGCAAATCAATAGGATGGTCCAGTCATTAAATTTTCACACCCTTTTTGAATTCTTTGAATTGTTTCAGAGCCCTTGTTAGATTATGGTCCACAGCCAGTTGACTTAGACTTAGATGGAATTAAGTCCTAATGAGGTCAAGTTTAATCCTGGATAAGCCACTTAGCTCTGAGGCTGCACCCCTAGCCTGGCACAGTCATCTTAAAATTTAGGTCAGTGGTTAAAAGCAGAATCATGTGTTTGGATGCTTAAGGTTCTATTTAGGAAACGAGCTGGAAATCACATACTCTCCTCAGTCAAAGCCACCTCCTCACCCAGAAGCCTGTATATAATGTTCTGACATTCTGTCTCAATGCCACATCTTTAGAAGGCAACCTCAAACTGTATGTTGGATAGGTTTCATTTTCCATTAAGTAACTATTACTTATTTTGAACTCTGTCCTTAACTGGAAAGTTCGGACAGCTTTTTAGTAAAAACAAGCACCCTTTTCCAGGTACCACCTGCCAGTCATGGCCTCATTTACACTTCACAACATTAAGGAGCAAATTGGAGCTGGCCAGTTAATTTGTTCATGATCACGTCAGCCAATTTGTGAGGAGGGGGCTGGATTCAAACCCAGGACTGTATGGCAACAGGCCTGTGTTTTTAATACCACACCAATGCAGCTTTTAAAAATACTCAAGACAGCAACGTTCTTTACTACACAACACACCGGTAACCTTTTGACTATGGGGCAACCCTATCTATATCTATTGCCATTAGTAGGATCCATGTGAATAGCTGTGGGGTCTGACATTTATTACCATCTTTGTCTGGTAGTCTAACACTCCGTTACGCTGGAAACCATCGCTGTTTACAACAGACTGTGGATGTGATCAGTCATGATGTCACCAAAAACACTGACAACTAAGCTCTTTGCCAAACCAAATCCTATCATTTTCACCTAGATTCTACAATCTGGTCAAATCCAAGTTTTCAAAGTGTAGAATCATTTTTAGAATGCTGCACTCGATGATACTGTGCACATTATCTGCTGTAATTAATCCTTACTATAATTCACTACTCTGTAGTAACTAGCAACAGTCCATGACAACCTGGCTGCTCCTTACAATGCCAACTGCCAGGGCACATGAGGGACACTTGCTGGGTGGTGACAGGCATGGGAAGGTCTCAGAACTGACACCTGAGGAGGTTGTGATTGTGGCTGTGTCAACACAAGCATGAAGCATGGTAATGGAGTTTTGGGAGAAGACCACACTCCAACATGGATGTCACTTCTTAAGGGTAATATGGACACAGTAATTCATTGTGGAAGACGAGTGGGAAAAAGGACCCAAAGCCACATCTCCTTTGGGCAGAATGATCAAACACACACACAGATTTCTCACCTTGAAAACCAGAACTCTTACAAGGAATGCAAAGGGACTTTTTTCAAATACAGATGGTCTCCGACTTAGGATGGTTCGACTTCAGGTTTAACGACGTGTTTACTGGGATGCGACCCCATCACAAGTCGAGGAGCATTTGCACCTGAAAGGCTGTCACATGCACACTATTAATGGGCCTAACAAAAGCCAGACCAGTGGTACGTGCTGGAGACAATGCCTACTAAATACACAGAGAAGCTTTCTAACAAATGAAGTTGCCATGAATGAAAGGAGCTCTTGACAACCCCAGCCGAGTTCCACCGGAGGTACGAGCTGGGGTGGGACAGGGAGAAAGGCCCTGGACCCATCACCTCTGAGGTCTCCTCTCATCACCTGAGTGTAGGGCTCTATTTCCCCCAAGCACGGCCACAACAATTTCTGAGTTGCTTATAGGCACCTCAACATCACTCATTCTTGAATGACATTCTATCAAATGCCCACATCGGAGCTGTTTAGCCATTCCCTTGAGAAGAAAAATGAAAACTAATCTAGGCACACGAGTAAAGAGGGGGTGGATAAAGAGGGCGTGGATATTTAGGTGACTTATTTGAGGTGCAACGCTGGAGCAAACATTCATTTGGGAGACACAACCCTCTCACAAAAACAAAAGGCACGAAGCTCAGACAAGTTCTTCCTCCAACTAACAAAGATCTCTTTCGATGCGTGAAGGGAAGTCCCAGAGCTCTGCTCCAATTCTTACTATGTCCAAGGCACGAGGCGGGGGGAACAACTCTTTTAAAACAATTGTCATCTTCTGAAAGGGCCCAAGGTAGACTTTGTTCTAAACCTTAGTTCTTGGCTTGCCTTGGAATTGCAAACGTTGCCCACTTGGGAAATCAAGGACAAGCTGCAGGTCTGGACTAACCAGACCCAAGAGTGTGAGTGAGCAACGGGCACCGGGAGAGACCGAAGGGAAACCGCGAGCGCTCGGAGAAACGCGGGGCGCCCTGGGGGCCGCTGCAGGGAAGCGAGGGTGCCCGAGGTGGGGAGAAGCGAGGCCCCCAGAGGAGCGCTCCGGGCGCAGGGGTGCCGGGGGTGGGGGAGGAGGAGGGAAGGGGCCGAGGGGACACACCGCCCGCTCGCCGCAGGCCGGACCGAGGGGGGGGACGGCGGCGGCGGCGGCGGCGGCTCTACCTCCAGGCTCGGCCGGCCGACGGGTTCGGACCGCCTGGGCTGCGACCTGCAGCTCCTCGGGCGCGTCCCTCGTGCGTCCGCTGCCCGGCAGCGCCGCTCCAACCTCGGCCGCCGTAAACATCCGCCGCCGCCGCCGCCTCTGCGCCTGCGCACAACGGCCTGACTGCGCATGCGCCGCGGGCCTGGAACTTAAAGCGGTGATGGCGACGCAGGGAGGGGCCCAGTCCCGTGGGCTGCCCGCGTCCGCCCGCCCCGCTGAGCCCTAGGCCGGGTCCGAGTCTCGTGGGCGCGCCGTCCGCGCAGTGCTCAGCCAGGACGGACCCCGCACAGGCTGCCTGAGAAGCGCTCCCTGAGGGTCACCTGAGACGCCCTTGCTGACCCACGGCTGGGGGCGTTTCGCATCTCCAGGGTGCCCTGCGGCGGCTGACTCGGGGCCGGCGCTGCCCTCGGGCGGCCTCCCAGCACCACGCACAGCCGCCCTGGGACCCCCGCCCTGCCACCCGGCCCTGGGGCCCTCCTACCCAGCCGGCTTTGTGAAATCAGCTGTGAAAGGAAAATATCCTGGGCCCCCAAGATCACTAAGGAAAACTCCAGCAGGAAACTGCTTAGGGCAAACCTGCTTCCCATTCCATTCAAAGTCACACCTCTCTCTGCTCACTGAGATAGATGTGCCTCCTTTGGAAAGGCAAATCAGAAACTCAAAAGAACGTAACGGTTTGTGTCTCACCTATCCGTGACCTGGACGCTCCGTCCCCGCTTGGAGTCTTCCTGCCTTTGCTTCAAGTCCCGCCTTTCCAGACCGAAGCAATGTACTTCTCACATGTATTGACTGATGTATCATGTCTCCCTAAATGTATAAAACCAAGCTGTGCCCCGACCACGTTGGGCACAGGTCGCCAGGCCTTCTGAGGCTGTGTCACGGGCGCGTCCTCAACCTTGGCAAAATAAACTTTCTAAATAAACTGAGACCTGTCTCACATTTTCAGGGTTCACACAGCCCATTGCCCAAACTTCGCGTGGGGCTTTGCAGATGGGCTTTAGCTGCAGAACCTTTTCTTCAAGTACAGCCATGCAAACCACCCCATATGTGCAGCAAGTGCCAGCGTCGCTGCTGCGGACGAGTGGGCCTGGGTCTCCCGTCCCCGCCTCCCTCCTGCCCCGCATTCCTACCCAGACCCTGGAGCTCCACTTAGGAGCAGAGTTTGAAAACCAAAGGCCGGTGCCTTCAACACGTTATGTGGTCCCAGGGAGACCTCACTTCTCTTGTTGCTCCATGGTCCTGGATCCATGGACCTGAGATGGCCCACCACCTCATGACCTTCGTGGGGCTCTCAGTAGTGTCCCTCCACCTAAGAGCTTATGTTTCCAATTACAGAAGCCCTGGAGTCCTCCTTGACCCTCTTCCTACTGCCAGGGGACATGTCCTTCACACATCCCTCCTTGCCCTGCCCCAGCTCCCCTCACCTCTCCCCACCCCTCCCACCACTCCCCTGGGCTCTGGCGAGTGGTCCTCCTAGAACAGTGTGATCACATCACTGCTGTCCTCAGACACTCCCTTTGTTCCTGGCACCAACTGAGGGTCGGGCGCTACTTCTCCTGGCTGAACAACAAGATGCAGGTAAGCTGGGGAGTAAGGGAGGGTTTATTTCTGTAACCGGTTACAAGGAGAAGGCCTGGAAATTATCACCAGACCAACTCAAAATTACAAAGTTTTCTGAAGCTTGTATACCTTCTAAGCTGTATGTCTACGTGTACGTGTGCGTTCATCTAAAGACCTAGTGATTAACTTCTTCTAATCTATAACTAAGATCTAAGTCCTGAGACCCTCTCCTGGAGCCTCAGTAAGTTTACTTAATCTAAATGGGTCCAGGTGCTGGGGCGATTACCCTTATCTTATCTCCTGCTAAATCATAATGGTATGGGCAGTTCCTTTAGACCCCCATACACTTATTTGTGGAGGCCTGGGGAGTTTCTTCAGATCCCTAATACAATTTGTTTAATCCTAAAAGGGTCCTGTTAAGAGTTCCTTCATTATCCTGTCATGCTTCAAGGCCCAGGAAAAGCCTAGGCAAAAATCTTGGTGGGCTCTTTGTTACATTCCAACCTTTGTATAAGGGCATTGGCTCCATCAGCTTTTAATGTTTAACCTGGCTACTCGGTCCGTGCTGGGACAGTTGTAATGGACGCCTGTGTTAGTGAAACCTGGCCTGCCACAACTTCAGACTCTTGCTTGGTTTTCCAAGGTGTCTCCTGCATTCCCCTCCATATCAGCTCCCACTACCATCAGCATTCATAACCCTTCACAGGGTACATACTAAGCACTCTACGTAGGTTATTTCCAAGAAATAGGTACTAGTATGACCTCCAAGAAGAAAAGTGGACCATGACATCAGGAACTGGCCTGGCGCTCAGATGCAGGCCATGGGGTCTCCTATTGGACATAAATACTTTTGTAGAGAAGCACCATCATGATCCAAGGCCACATCATAATTTTGTCTAAGCACAAACAAAAATAGGGTCACTGTGTCACCCACAAAATCTAAGACATATCCTCCCCAAGTTAGTAGCAGTGACCCCTGCTCCTCTACCAGCTACAGCTGAGCCTCCCTCTGCCCTGGCCTTCTCACAGATAACATCTACTGAGGTGCCCAGAGAACCGCCCTTTCCCCCCATCCACTCCCCCAATTCCTGACAGCATCTGATCCATGAAAAAAATCACCCAACTTAAGCCCATAACCTTTAGTAAGTTTTCCCGACACCTCTTACTGAGATGCCTTGCAGTTCTCCATGATCTGCATCCTTCTCGCAGCAATGAGAGATAATCCCCAACTCATTCAATTACAGGCAGGTTCCTGGTGGCCTTTGGCTTGACGGCACTGATACCTCCATTTTACAGATGAGGGAACTGAAACTACAAGAGGTTAGCTGGCTTCCTGTACTTACCAGCTAGTAGTAAGCACAGGAAGGTGGACAGGAATCCAACTGCTACTCTCAGCCCCGTCCAGGCTTCTCCCACACCCAGCCACAGGGCGCCTTCTGAGTATGTCTTCAGTGTCACGTTGCCTATCCCCTTGCATCTGTCCACTCATCTTTGTCGTATCTGCAGAGGAGCCTCGGGACAGAGGGAAGGTCGTGCAAGGGCCTCAGACGGGTGCGGCCGGGTATCTGGAGTGCAAGTGGCTAGAGCCACATGTGGGAGGTTGTGTTGTTGTCTTCAAAATACACTATTCTTATTATGGTAAAATATACAAAATATTTATCATTTTAACCATTTTTAAGTGTACATGAAGTACACTGACAATCTTGTGCAATCTCACTACTATCCAGCTCCACTTTTTTTTCATCATGCCCAAGTAGAACTCCATACCCGTTCATGTTAAAAATTCTCACCCAGCTGGCCAACCAGGGTGGCTCATGCCTATAATCCCAGCACTATGGGAGGCCGAGGTGGGCAGATCACAAGGTCAGGAGATTGAGACCATCCTGGCCAACATGATGAAACCCTGTCTCTACTAAAAATACAAAAATTAGCCGGGCATGGTGACGTGTACCTGTAATCCCAGCTACTCGGGAGGGTGAGGCAGGAGAATAGCTTGAACCAGGGAGTTGGCGGTTGCAGTGAGCCGAGATCACACCACTGCACTCCTGCCTGGGCCACAGAGCGAGACTCCGTCTCAAAAAATAAAAATAAAAAATTCTCACCCAGCTAGTAATAGAGAGGCATTTCCTCAACTTGATAAAGAACATCTACAGAAAACCAACAGCTAATATCATACCTAATGGTGAGAAAGTGGACCCTTTCTCCTTAAGTTCAGGAACAAGGCAAGAATATCCCCTCTCACTACTTCTGTTCAACATCATATAGAAGTCCTAGCTGATGCAATAAGCGTGAAAACAAGGGTTACAAAATTTGGAAAGAAGAAATGAAACTGTCTTTGTGCACAGGTGATAAGATTAACTGTGTATTATACCCTGAAGAATCTCCAGTAAAACTCCTAAAACTAAGGAGTGACTACAGCCAGGTTGCTGGATACAGCAGTCCCCCCTTATCCTTAGGGGATACATTCTAAGACACTGTCGGGGATATGTACCAAACCCTATAGTACATATACGAATGCTTGAAACCAGGGGTGGAATCAAACCCTATATATATTATGTTTTTTCCTGGATCATCTATGATAAAGTTTAATTTATAAATTAGGCATAGCAAGAGATTAACAACAGTAACTAATAATACAGTTGAACAATTATAACAATATACTGTAATAAAAGTTACATGAATGTGGTCTCTCTGTCACCACAGAGAGATTAATGGGCAAGTAGTGTATATGGCACGGATATGCTGAACAGAAAGGTGGCGCATATACTGGGTAGCATAGAGCAGGACGGCACGAGATTTCATCACACTACTCAGAATAGCACACAGTTTAAAATTTATTAATTATTTCTGTAATTTTCCAATTAATATTTTTGAATTGTGGTTGACTGCAGGTAACTGAAACCATGGAAAGCAAAACCACAGATGGGGGACTACTATGTAAGGTTAATAAACAAAAGCCAATTGCTTTCCTATAGACCAGCAATGAACGATTGGAATTTGAAATTAAAAATACAATACTGTTTACAATAGCACCAAAAAATGGGATGCTTAGGCGTAAGCCTAACAAAATAAGTACAAGGTCTATATGTGGAAAACTGCCAAACTCTCATAAAAGAAATCAAATATTTACATAGGCAGATATTCCATGTTTATGGAGAGGAAAACTCAGCAGTGCTATCAGTTCTTTCCAACTTAATCTGTAGATTCAATGCAACACCAATCAAAATCTTAGCAAGTTACTTCATGGATATCAACAAACTGATTCTAAAGTGTGTATGGAAAGGCAAAATGCCCAGAATAGCCAACATAATACTAAAGAAGAACAAAGTAGGAGGACTGACACAACCAGATTTCAAGACCTGTAAAGTTACAGTAATCATGAGAGTGTGGGGTTGGCAAAAGAAGAGACGAATAGATCAATGGAATAAAATAGTAAGCCCAGAAACAGACCCACACAAATACATTCAACTGTTCTTTGACAAAGGAGCAAAAGCAATTAAATGGATA